ACGAACATAATAAACCGGCTGTCTTCTTCCACCAGCTTCGGCCGTTCTTGGCTGGAAGTAAGAATATGGGTCACGCTGGTCTTCCCAGGGGTGTGTACTATGATGTTGGTGATAGTGATGGGGTGGAAAGGCCTGAGAATTGGCTCCAGTTGAGTGGTGGGAGTAACGCACAGAGCTCACTGATCCAAGCACTTGATATTTTCCTTGGGATTAGGCACTCTGCAACGGATGGGAAGCAAGCTTGCGGTCCTAGTTTTATCCAGGTAAGAGCATCACAAGATCTTAGTTTTCAGAGTCTCTATCTTGAGACATATGCGAATCAGTACTAACACCAAAGACAGCAAATGCGAGACTACATGCCTGGTCCGCATAGGCGCTTCCTTGAAGAGCTATCTGGTCGAGCTAGTGTTCGTCCGTTCATACTGGAGTCGTCGGTTCAATCGCTTCGGGATGCATACAACGCAGCTGTGAATGAGCTCAAGGCTTTCCGCGATACACACATTCAGATGGTCACACGATACATTGTCATGGCATCGAGACAGCCTAATCCGGTTCAACAGGGAAAAGGCAAAATGAATCTAGCCACGGCTAGCTCTCAAATGAAGGAAGCAGGCGCAAAGACTAAGCTTGCTGGGACTGGTGGCACCGACTTGATACCCTTCCTGAAAAAGACCAGAGATACGGTTCAAGACGCTAAGTGCTAGGTGTTCATATGGACGTGGGATGATTAAACGAACATTTGTGATATAGAATTGTCTTGCAATATTGTAAATTGAGATTGGTTGTTTGCCGCTAGTACTATAGTTCAAAATGACCTTCCTAAATAAAGAATCATGTCGCGAATTATGTAGCGTTGGATACGTCCTGATATCCGACATCAACGACGAGAGGACTGTATTCTTGTGGAATTTCCTCTTTTCCAGGTGAGTAGCAAATCCCCGAGTCAACCTTCCCGCAAACTTGGTATGAATATGGTTTGGATGGGATTCCTAGTGCATTCCTAGGACCCTAAAGCATGGTCTGCAATGTCCCACCTCGTGGATATCGAGAAAAGGGCCCCATGTGAGTGTTAGGAACAAAGCTGCGATGACGCAAATACTCCAGCCTCGTGGTCATAGCCGGCATATAATGCGATAGTGGTGATGAATTTGGTGCAAACAGACAGGTTGTATCGTGTGGTCAAGCGATTATCAAAAGCATAAAGACACGAACTTCGACTGTTCAGAGCAGTAGACAAACTCAAAGTCTCAGCACTTAGGAAATCTGGACCAGGGTGATGAGAATTGTTGGCCAGGCACATTCTGGGTGCCCAAAAGCCAACCACACGGCGATGGCCTGGATTTTTGGCTTAAGAGAAACGTGTAAAGCAATCACCGCTTCTTCGTGTTGGCGGGCACACCCTCACTCTCTCGCAGCTCGGCCAGATACCTCTCCCTCTTGATCAACCGCTCCTTCTCTTCCTTGATCATCTGCTCAACTGTCTGAGTGGCCTCGGCCATGCGATCAAGCTCCTTTCTCTCGGTCATCCGACTGTATGGGTTCCCGGGCGCATCACTCATCGGAATGTCCGCCGTTCTCTGCGCAACCTGCTTGGTATTCTTCCCCTTGCTCTTGCCAAGCTGACCACCAGCAAAGCCTCCGGTAAGTATCTCGTAGAACGGCTCGACGGGCTCATTGAAAATGATCTCTTCGTAGTTCTGGCTGACCACAGTCTCTCGACGCTCCTTCATTCCCTCTGCATCTGGGCCGTAAGGGTGTAGCTTCAGGCTATGCCACAGGGTCTGGGGCTTCTCATTTGACTCGGGCACAAAGTAAAGCTTGATCTGAATTTCGAATTCACCCCAGCCAGTCTCAGAAACTTCGAAGGGCGGATGCTCGATCGAGCGCACATTGTGGGCATATGTCTCATGTAGCTTGAATTGGACTTTCTTTAGCCAGTAGGAGATGTCCTCGCCGTTGATTCCCTGGACGAATATCTCCCACCTGTGGGTGTGATCTGGAGGACAGTCTGGGGGCCTGTTATCGGGATCGAAGGGGTGCGCTATACTGCCAAATACTGTGTTTGTTAGTTTGTGACTGTTGGCGATCATGCGCTTTTTGCGGACATACCAAATGGTCGGAACACCGAGACACCCTGCGAGCGTGTTAGTTAATTTAATTGTAATATTTCTAGAGATTGAAGCATACCCTGACGCGCTTGTTTCCTGTCGCAGACACCATCTTGTAAGTTGTTTGTGGTAGAACCAGATGGGCATGGTTTGTCCAGAGCAGCAAGGGCGCAAGAAAGGCACGGAGGAAGGATAATCCGCCGGGGCTCAAGCCTGACAAGGAGGCGAACGATACCGAACACCAACTTTAGAGTTCTGGTCAAGGAACAATTACCTTGAATTATTTAACTATTTTGCTTATTGAAAAGCTTCATATTGACTTCCTTTGCTCACCCCTAAAGTCTCGATTGCGAGCCTAAATAGCTAGGAATATTGTTCCAATTCTTTAGTGACATCATTGTCCAGAGCTATCCCAAAACTACAGCATGCCGAACAAAAGACTAGTTGTCGCCGGAGGAAGCGGTTTTTTGGGTATGTGATAGCCAGCGCAGAGTATCAATATCATTTCACTAACTAGCTATTCCAGGTTCCAGAATCTGTAAAGCCGCAGCAGCAAGAGGATGGACAGTTACATCGTTAAGGTAGCTTTCCCACCTATTTATGAATCTACGGAAGAGCACGATACTGATAGCTGTCCAGTCGATCTGGTGAGCCCCGGTGGGACACAGTCACCGACTCTCAGGAACGGCCCAGCTGGGCAGGCTCCGTGGAATGGGCCAAGGCCGATATCCTCAAGCCAGAGAGCTACAAGCCACATCTGCATGGTGCATCTGCTGTTGTTCACTCAATGGGCATTCTCTTGGAAGCAGACTACAAGGGAGTTGTGCAAGGGAGAGTGCCAATTCTCAGTGGCCTTCAACGAGCTTTTAGTACATCTAAGCTCGGAAGCCAGAACACTCTGACAAGACAAGAGGGCGAGGCTTTGGAACCAAAGGAGAAAGATAGGCAGCTGACCTATGAGCTGATGAATCGAGATTCGGGTACGTACAAGAGTTCCAAAGTCTGTTTCAAAAGCTAACATGTGTGTGATTTAGCAATTGCACTAGCCCAAGAGTCCGCCAATGAACATGTTCCGACCTTCGTTTACATCTCTGCAGCCGCCGGGGCACCGGTTCTGCCTGCTAGGTACATCAGTACTAAAAGAGAAGCAGAGGCAGCTATCATATCCACTCTCCCGGACCTACGAAGCGTCTTCATACGCCCGGGCTTCATGTACGACTCGAGTCGGAAGTTCACGCTGCCAATTGCAATGGGTGGCTTTGTTGCCTCGGAGTTCAACACATTCCTCGGGAACAGGCTTGGGTTCCTCGGAGCTATGGCCGAAAAGCCCCTCAAAGCCGACGTTGTAAGCGAAGCGGTGGTCGAGGCATTGGAGGACGAGTCCACCAAGGGTGCAGTCGGAACAAAACAGATCGAGGCACTTGCAACAAAAGCCTGGAGAAAGACGATGCTTTAAGTCTGTTGGCTGATCAAGTGACTTATGTTTGTAAACAATGTTTCTTTTTTTGGCAGAGGGGAAAACGCGTGGAATCTCTGCTGGTTGATTGATGTCTTGTCCAAGTACAGCTGTATATCTTGGAACGTCCACTCATGTAAAATATCGCAATCAATCTCACATTTAACTTAAATCATAGTGCCACGTTCGAAGCTGTCCCGAATTTCGGTGGTGTACTAGAGAACTGTTAGCAAAAGATCACACAAAGACAAAGCAAGGGGACACTGACCTTGTTGTAGAAGCGAGCGAGTTTCTGGTTGAACTGCCTGTTCTTCTCGTTGATATATGTCACATCCGCGTCATCATCACCACCACGGCGCTCTTTACGTTTCTTGAGGCGCACTTCCTCTGCCTTCTGGATATCGTTGACCAGTCTGTCAACAGCAGCCCGATCTGGTTTGCTCTCCGTAAAGCCAGTGGAGTCCGCAGTGGAATAGAAGCTACCGTTCTTGTCGATTGCAATCATTTCACCGTCCTCGGTCTCCACGATCTCGAGATCGCCATTGGCCGCGGCTCTCTCGATCGCGGCAAGCTTGTCTTTCTCGTAGGACTCCAAGTTTGGCGCCATTTCTCTCAACTGTCTCTTGTAAATCTTCCGGGCATCTTGAGTGTAGTCTTGGAAAGCCACGTCATCTCGGTGACGTTGTTTCTTCTCCATGCGCCTATCCCACTTCTCCGATTCATCCACTGTCCAGTCCCATGCACGCTTGCGTTCAAAATCCTCGCCTTCAGCTTCCGTGTCCGCTTTAAGGAGGTTGTGGGAGGCGAATGCATGCTTGCGGGACAATGTGTTTAGCAGGGCCGGGTCGGTGGTCAAACGCTGAGACTCAGCTGCAGTCTCTTTTAAGTTGCGTTCCGTTGCATTTTTCTATATGGTATGTCAGTTATGTAAGGGGTTGGTCTGGCCAAGTCTATTGATCCGCGCAAATCATTTTTGGAAGCCACTTACAGCTCGAGCCTGCAAGGCTTTGAACCGATTCATTCTCTCGCGCGCTTTAGATGCAGCGTCATCCTTTGTTTCATCTGTTCGGGTTTCGGCCTTGTCTTCTGAAGTTGCGACAGGAGATTCGCTCGTGTTCTCGGTCGGTTGCTCAATGAACTGCTCTTGGCTCGCCTCGTCCTTGGCAGATTTATCCGCATTTCTGGTTCGAACCATGATTTCCTTGGGTTAATCAATAGGCCAATAGCAGCTATGGACAGAGAGCGGTAATTGTTTTGTTGGCAGCTAGGTTGATAGGAAATGGAAGGTGGTTGAAGATGAAATAAAAGCGCGAATGCGGTCAATTGCCGCCTCCCACACCGCCCTTGATCTGCTGGCGAAACCCCAGACTTCCACCCCTTATCGGGCCGTGTTTATCTTCTCCACATCTTCTGGGATCAGCTTTACTCTAGTCGTCATGGGAGGGCTACACAATCGGTTGTTGCTGCTGCAAGCCAGGCAACGGCTTAACACTGGGAATTTTCTGTCACGGCAATTGGTGCGCAGTCTCTATCCCGCAACGATTAAACGACCACATGACCCATCACCGTCTGAAATGCTTCGATTCGCTTTAAGAGATTCCACTGAGCCAATTTATGACTCGAATGTTAACGAGGTCTTATCTGAATACCTTCGTGGGATTTTTATCACCGAATGGAAGTTGAATACTCCGCCTTCCCCGTTGTGGACCTCCCTCAAAGGGCCTACATCGCGGAACCAAGAGTTGTTGTGGAATTCCAATAGCGACATCGCCGATGTCTCTTCCTTGCGGAGTCTAATTGAGAGATATGTCAACGACAGACATGGAGCAGAGATTTTGCAGACGAATAATTGTTTACCATTACATCACGCTTTGCGACGCTGCCAACGTAACAACACATTGGCAGAAATCCTCTCGGTGCTACGTGACTTGTTTGCAAGGCTGAAGCGTCTCCAGCTTCCCATCCGGCCTGGAATGTACACTATAGCGTTATACTTCGCATCTCTTGATCTTTCGCCTTCTGATCTCAGGTATTTCTTGGATGGCCAACACCACATGGGCGCTCCAGCTCTAAGTCCCAAGGAAAGTCTGCGGATAGTCCGATATTGCTCTGAAGCACTTGACTGCAAAGTTTTTGAAGACCCATACTATGACCCCAATCCCATTCTTGCCGAGATTACAGGCGAAGGAGAATCTGTGACCGAAAGTCGCAATTTGCATGATACCTTATTCTGGACGCAATCTACTGATCAAATCGGCAACCGATTCAATTATGAGACCAAAGCCCAGGATTATATCTGTTTACTTACTAGGCTTGGTAATGATGAAGTGCTTCACAGATGCTGGTCTCATTTCTTGAAGAACATTCAACCTAAGAACTATCAAAGCTGCATCGCTGCCTATCAGGTAGTGTTGGCTCTGGTCCAAAATATTCAGTCCGAAACAGCGGTGAAATGGTTGGAAGATATCTCTCAACATTGTGGTGATAACCTGCCATTCATTGCGAAATTCCCGGACATTCGATTCCTCCTTAATGACCTTATTATAGGCGAGGCACTACCTGACCTAGTGAGGGGAGAGGACTACCTCGAACTACTTAAGTTTTGTCTTGAGGACATGGATCGAAGGATGGGTGTTCAATGGAGCCCTGAGAGTCAAAGTCATTTCAGTACGGCCTTGGACCCAATCTACGGAGCATTTGGTGATCAGCCTTTACCCAAGACTGATAACAAATATGCTGGCTATGATCATGGCGGGCAATTGTATGCAGAGCTTCGCGTTCATGGCTGCTCCAAGTCTCCGGTTGCACTGGCCAGGGTCGTAGATCTGTTGAATGACCACGATGGACAGTCGCAGAATATCATCACTCATCTTGATTACAATGCGGCACGGCTTAATGAATTTCGGTCCAAATTTAAATCTCTGGAACTCCGATGGGTACCAGAACACTCACCGATTGAATTCTCTAACTCCCGGATTCCGGCGATACGTGATTTCTCTGGGCCTATGACCCCATCTACCCTAGGCCTTATTCGGGCTCGTTTGATCATTCATGCAGTTCCTCAAATGGGGATCGACAATTTACATTTGATGCAACTCGGCTGCATGGATATGCGGCATGGTCCAGACCAACCATGGCAGCCATCTGGATATATCGTGGTTTGGGATCGTCATCACAGGGAACTCCTCGGGCTGTATGTTGGGCAGAACACTGGTGTCATTAGCTGTGGAGCACCTTCGGATGGCCCTCTTGGTGCCTTGATGCATCTATCGCTCTCAACCAATCCTGACGAGCGAACATTTTATCCTAGGGGCACGCGCACTCATTCTCGGAACTGCTGGGGTCCTTACTATCTGGATGTAGATCCAAGTGCAGATCTAGAGTATTGAGCGTTTTCCTACAGCTCTGTGAGATATCTATGAAATCATGAAATCATGAAAATGTCTTTTGGACACTGAGATGACTGGATGTTGTTATGAGTGAGCGGTGATGTGCTTCGGCAGAATTCAAATGTACCACAACGTTGTAGTCACCGGGCATATCCTTTTCGGCTACTCTTCCATCTCCAATATCACTTCCATATTCTCAACAAACGGAAACTCTACGATATTCTGCCTCCTCCGACTAGAATCCAACGGAGATCCTACCCATGTACCCTATACCCTATGCCTGATCGGCCTGCTTCCGGCGTCCTCGGAGAGTGACATGCACTGAGATTAATTTTCCCTGCATTAGAGTCAAGCCACCCAAGCCATTTTCAATATCAAGTATTGTCCGTAAGGATGGGGCACACCATCGAAGTCTTGGATGTGCCTGGCCACGAATGGTAATTTGTCGGAATATCTCTTCCTATTCTGGCTTACACTTCTCCCCTGCAGCACACAGTAACCGCAGATCAGCAACGCTCTCGAGGCAGTTATTGCAGGGAACTATAACAGCCAGCGCAGCCACACTTCTACGTGGCGGTGCATACTGAAAAACCTTGACTTGCATAGTTTCTCAGTCGCGCTATATCATAGGACAATTATCAACCACCAAGTACTGCAGTGGGGTCATTGTGATCTGCGTCTAGCCTAAAGTCGACGCATGAGAACTGACCTGGAAGCTCACGGGGCCTTAGTTCCTACACCTGCCAATGAAGTTTCAAACGGTCACCCTTGACAACTCCTGCATTTGCAGGTCGAAGAATTCCAATCCCATTATTGGGACAGATCAATTCTTCCAACATTGCAAAATCTTCACGAATAGTCCACAGCATTGGCAACGCATATGATATATGTAGCCACAATTTACGGATCCATTATATTTACAATAGACTGTATCTAGCGCCTGGGCCCAGTTGAGTCCGACTACCCTTAGTTCGTTCGCCTCAAATTGCAGCTGCCTCGCCGATCGATCTGACAGCAAACGATCATTGCCCCATCCCCAATTGGAACAGGTGTCAAAGTCCGCCCGAAGACCCATAATTTTGGGGGGGTGCAATGGTAAGTGCATTGTCCTGGAATGTTAATTGACCTTGAATTCCAGGAAAGGTATCTCGTGAACTTGCTAGTTTATATGCGTCTGTGTTTCCTCCGAAAGGGCTTACTGCTTACCACTGTCGAAAGTATACTCCGGGACTGCATCATATACCAGGATCAGCCCGCCATCACGGTAAGTCCCAGTGAACACAGCTTCCAGATTCCCTGTTGTGGGGGGAGGGGCAGATCTTTTTTTCTGAAGGATTGCCAAGCAACGGTTGAACGCCAATCACCGCGCCTCACGGCAGCTTCCCAGCTCCAGCCACTTGGGATTTGAAAACCGGGTCGATACCAGCTGGCTGCTCCGAAGGCTTGTCGGTCAGCATCCGGCAAACCTGCTGTTCTGTACTCTATAAAGCGGAGATCTGAGTTTTCTGCTCCAAAGCCCATTACACCGGGGGTACTGTTTATCATTTTCGACGGACTAAGACACGATAGTCCGCCCTATGGTCCAATTCGTGGCCCACTGCGGAGTACTACTCCGTAAACCGGTTCGCAAAAAGGCATCATTCCACGACAAGGACTTTGTCACTTTGCCTCGTTTTTTCGACCCCATTAGCAATATCCTGATAGGTCAAAACTGACAACCCGTATGCCGACACGAGATACTTCAGCGCACCCCGGTTCCCAGGGAAAGCTTTCCAGCTGTACACGCGAGTTCCACAATGCAGAACAGCTTCCACTCATATTCGATTGCCTGACCGTCTTTCAAGAGATCAAAGACCCCGAGTCGGGGACCATTTTTTCTGCCAGGAACAGTGCCAGTCCATTTAGTTCATATAGCTCCTCCACGCACCATTTCCCATGGAGGCACAGCCCACACCTTTGTCCGCAGCAGACGTCTTAGTACTGGTTTCCCCTTCTTGTGGCAAAACCCGCTCGGCCCGTTCCCCCGGCTCTTCCCTTTCTCATCATCGGTGGATACGGCGCCAATCGTAGAGCATCAGTCGAGGATGTGTTTCTACTAGAACAAGAAGAAGTATACTGTTGATGCCATTTGCTATTCGCCCTCGGTCCCTGTCATATTCCAGCCCTCGGGTGATTGGACAGCTCGGGAAACCCGGACAGGGGTGTTTAAATTTTGCGCTGTGCGTGGACGTTTTTTTTCGGTCCCTGAGGAAACCCGGTGGCCAACGAATACCCCCTAGGGAAGTATAGATCCAATCTTACAGGGCCAACGAAGAAAAGGATCATACCCAAGTCGTGTCATGAGGCATTGCTGTTAACCGGCTGCATTCACATGCCGATTATCAGATGCTTTCATTGACCGAATATGTTTATCTTTCCCATCTAACCTATATAATTATATCTGGGACATTGGCTCTGTTCTGGTCGTGATTATCTGATCGCTTTGTGCGTTATATTCAATGCCTCATCTGAAACCAACCCGAATACGGCAATATCTAAACTATAACACAAGGACCAACTGTCGGCACTTGCGCAAATCTCCGATAGATGTCGAGGCCACCGCCACAGCAATGTGGGAATTCCACATCGGAGCGGCCATACATCGAATCGGTCCCCCGCACTCAACACCGCGGCCCGATACCAATGCCCTATCCATACCGACATGAACCTCGACAGACCATACCCCAGAGCACGAGCTATGAGCACCCTATGCACGGGGCGCCCCTTGGCCCAAGGCTTCCTGCCTTGATTGTTCCCGAAAGAAACGCAGATCCACGATATATGCTCTCGTCCGACATTGCCTACCTGAATACACAACATATGTCCCAAACGCTCCCTCTGCGATCCCATCACCAACCTCCTGGAAGCTCTGATGCCCGTGGTTACTACAACCCATACGAAGAGAGAACGTACCCAAGTTCGAGCCATGCCCGTGACTATGATAGTCACCGGAGCTGGACATACGACGTGGAGTCCCAGTAAAGTCCCTCTCTTTTCGTTTCTGTCGATTAAACCACCTCTATCTGTCAGTCATCCGTCCTGATGCGATGTCTTTGGCTTGAGAATTTTGAACAAAATCCTCCTCTCACGTCACATCTGTGACAGGTTACACAAGGCAGGGAGACATTCGATCAAGGGCCACATTCTAACCGCGAAATTCATATAGACACAGCAACAGTTCCACGGCCATGCCCAGCCCCGTCTGGTCAGACAAAAGTGCAGCTACGCACGCATTCAATCCTATACTAGCCAGTACCCACCAAGGTCCGAAACCACAATCCCGAAACGCGAACTACAGAATGCCACATGGCTTCGACAAGCTCCTCCACCATGACCCAGAGCCGCAATCACCATCACCTCCTCCACGACCCAGACGACCATCCACCGAATCCAGATACCATCTCCACATCCGGCAACAGCCCATCGCCGCACGAGCCTGTGGCGCAGGCGACAGAGACCGCCGCCCCGTCGACCCACCTCCAATCGTGCAGATCCTCCTTACCGACTTCGACTCGAACTCCCAGGAAGACCGGGATCTCCTCCAAGACCCCCGCTTCACAGTGGGCTGTCTACTATTCCCCGTCTCACCCTCTTTACCATGGGCCGAGCCAACAGAAACACATCCGCGCGAGCGCGACCAGAATCGAGATCAAGATCGAAATCGCGATAGAGAACGAGAACGAGAACGAGAAAGAGAAACGGACGGCGTTGCCCGTACAGACGACAACTTCTCAACCCCATTACTGTCCGGCAAAGCCTTCATGTCCCCTTTCTACGTCGACGCCGACCCAGACCCCAACTCCGCACCCGCACATCCATCCTCCATAACCGATGCCCATCTAGACAACCCCCCTCACCACGCCTACAACAATGCCGCCTCGCGCCTCCACCAACCAGCTACCTTTTTCATCTTTGCGGATCTCTCGATCCGCTCGGCGGGCCTCTATAGGCTCCAGTTCCGATTGATGAATTGGGGCTCTGTTGAGGATACGGGGCAGTCGATGCCGATTCTTGCGGAGGCGTGGTCTGATCCGTTCCGTGTGTATCCTGCAAAGGATTTTCCGGGGATGAGGGATTCGTCGATTCTTGCCGAGGGGTTGAAAGAGCTTGGGTTTGTAGAGTTGAAGACGAGGGGGCATGGGAAGGGAAAGGGGAAAAAGAGGCGGTGATTGGTTCTTTTCTCTTCTCCTGTTGTGTTGACATTATCATCCTTCGAATATCTTGATTGTTGGTTTGGAGTCTGAATGGCTTTGTCTCGGGTTTGGCACGAGGAAAGGAAATTTGATTCGAGGATGAAACAGGGATTGCGTTCGATTATTTCCTTCGAACATGACGACAGTTCTGGTATCTTACTGGCATTTTGGTTTCTCTTTCTGTCGTTTCAGCTTGGGATACGGGCTATATAGAAGAACAGATATCAACCAAAGGCCCAAAAAGAAACATAAAGAAACATTGCTATGATACATGGTGGAATACAGGCCAAAAAAATTTACAGCAGAGATATAAGTACAACAGCTCTAAACCACCTACGCAAGCTTCAACAGCTTAGGAGGCAGACCAGGGTTGAATGTCCGGTCTTCCCACTTATCCTTCATCTCCGCCAGGCTTTTCTTCGACAACGAGGCCGGAAGACCCTTTCGAGCAGCAAGCTTGTACATCTCACGGCTCTTCTCCATCTCGCCATCCTCGCGAAGGAGCAAGGCCAGGATATACCCAGCCTCGTTGTTCCCTCCATCAAAAGCAAGCTCGTACCAATCCATCGCGAGCTTGCGGTATGTCTTATGATCCTTGGGTTGGTTGAAAAACGTAACAACCCCACTCGCTATAGACTCAAAGGGTTTCAACCAGGCGCTGCGCGCAGCATTAGCATCTTCCCTCTCTTTTGCCTTCCTCTCTGCTTCGGTGGTAAATTGGCCTTGGGAGGTGAGGTAATAAAAATTAGCAATGTAAAAGCTGGCTGCAATATTTCCCCACATTGCAGCGCCACCCATGAACGCCTCGTACGTCTCGTACTTGTTGGGGGCCTCCGTTTCCAACACGGAGATGGCGAAATCAGCCATGGCGATCGGGTCGTGAAACTCCGTGGCGGCTCGCGCAGTGGCCTTCAGGATACCCGCTAGACCCTGTTCCTTTTCAATAGCCACAGCGTACATCCGCCAGGGCGATTCAAATGCGCCCGCTAACGTTATATCCTCCCACAAGGAAGGGCGTTTGCTAGAGGGTTGCAGATATGGCAGAATCTTTCGCTCTAGAAGCTGGGCGGCTTCTGCGTTCTCACCGCGCCAGATGAGCAGTTTGGCATATAGCATAATCGCATGAGGGAATTCGTCTTTAAGAGCCAAGTCTTTGACCTGCGCTATGCCCTCGGTGTTTCGGTAAATGTCCACACCTGGCGTGCTGATATACCGGTTCACGAGGTGAACAATGGCTCGGCGCGAATGTGCTTTTGCGCAGCCGGTCAACGCCCATTGGTAGACGTGGTGGCCTTTTTGAAGATCTGCAAGAAGGATCGAGATTCGATAAATGGCGTCGACATCTATAACAAAGTGCATAATCAGTACAGAACCATTTAATCCGTAGCGTTTCACTGTATACCAATTGAAGTCTGAACTCACCTATTGAGATACTCCGAACAAGACTGGCGGTAGGGACCTGCGAGTGCGATAGCCTGATCAACTGTTCACCCACGGACACGAACGTCGCCAAGTTGACGCCCGGCGGTATGTTACTTTCATAAGCTTCATACATTTTGCGTGCAAATTGCCTGAACTCAGCCAACGTTGGTTCAACGTGCGCAGTAGAGTGTCTATTCCAAAACCCATCACGGTCTATTCTAAATCCATCTTCGGTGACCAACACATGCTCGGGTATCGCATTCTGTCTTCGAACAGATGGTGCTCGGCGAGAAGGCCTGACAGCTGATCGATTTTGAGTGGTGTGGAAGGGTCGTTTCGATGTAGTTGTGTTGCTATTGGTGACAGCTCGAGTGGTGCAAACTTGCGCGCCGTGGTGACGCAAGACATGGGCTTTTGGAGAGAGAACTTGATGTAATCGACACCATTGTAACGGCAAAATCAATGGTCTGGCCATGAAAACGAGTGAGGGAAATCGTGGGGGTGGTAGGGTGAGGGGAGGTTTTCTCTGAAGTTTTGGAGTTCGGGAACTTCACCAAACTGCTCCGACATTTAGATCTACCAACCTGACGATACGCCAGAGTAGTATTTAAAGATATTTACTGATTTTAAAGATAATAGAATAGCATTGATATGCTAAATGCATCAATTAACCAAACAAACCCTCTGTACCAGACGGTCTCAGAACACAATGCGTATAATGTACATTTTGCCTTGATCTGCCAGGCCAAACACAATAAATGCTCAACAAGATCTCTCAAAAGCAAGAATTTAAAGAGATAAAGAGAGAGGAAAAGACCAAAGCAACAACATCCTCCCCGACTCTCTTCCCAATCTATCCGCTCCCCGTGCCTAAATAATAACACAGCTTCTACTCCATAGTCGCCTTGGCTCCGATCGCCTTGAACGTCGCAATGAGCTTCTCCGCCTCCTCCTTGGGCACAGACTCCTTCAGAATCTTTGGTGCAGACTCGACGAACTTCTTGCTGTCCACCAGCGACAGGCCAAGCATGGTCTTAATCTCCTTGATGACCTTAGGCTTGGAGGTAGGCTCGAAGGACTCGAGCTTCAGGTTGAACAGCGTCTTCTCGGCAGCGGCGGGAGCAGCCTCCTCCTCCTCAACAGCAGCAGCGGCCGCACCGGAGGCACCACCAGCGGCCATAGCGAAGCCGCCAACGGGAAGGTCGGGGATGTTCAGGCGAGTCTGTGCAAACATTTTGATTAGCAATAGTTCGGACATTTATGTCAATTGAGTAAAAGGATGATGTAGATAGAAAGGTATGCACGGTCCGCATATCCTGCTTAGAAACCAATCGATTATGTGTAGTTTGTCGAACGCACCTTCAAGCTAGACACCAGGTCGGCAGTCTCGAGCAGCGTCAATGTGCTGATCTGGTCGACAATCTGGGAGATCTTGGGGTTGGTAGCAGCAGCAGGGGCTGCCTGGGTGGATTCGCATCGTCGGCTGCTGGGTGTGCGACGGGCTGTGAGGTATGTAGCGGAGGCCCCGATGCGCAGGGAGGACGGGCGGACGGAGCCGGAGAGCTGTCTAGCACAGCGGGCTGCGACCTGGGTGGAGAAGGACATGGCGGAGGTGAGAAAGAGGCGGGAAGCTCGAGAGAAAGGAAAATTAGACGAAAGTGGTGGGGATTGGAATCGCGGCTCGTCGATACTAATGCCGAAAGGAAACACTCGAGGAAAATCTGGGAGTGGCACGTGATGTATAGTGCCTCAGGCATCCTTGTCTATCTAGCAGGCAAACAGGGCCGAAGCACCAAACGTATGATCACTCACGATATTCTTGTATGAGTTCTTTCATTATAAGATATCTTTGTAGTAATATAGAAGGAGAGCAGAGCAAAGAAAAAAATACTAGAAGAGAAACGTAGTCCAATTTACAATGGTTCTCGAAAAGCGTATCATCGTACGAAGATCTATAGGCCTCATATTATCAAACAGCATCCAGACCCTCATCGCTCCTTTTTTTTTTAAATTAGTCCTGGTCCCAATCACCTCCACCCTGCGGTGGCTTGGGGCCTCCTGCCTGTCTCGAGACAATGATCTGGTCGACGCTCAGCACCGTCCGGGCAGCCTCACTGGCCAGACGAATCGCAGACATCTTCGTGGCCATAAGATCTAGAATACCCTCCTCGACAGTGTCCAGGGTGCCGTCAGATTCGCCAATCTCAAGGTCCACACCGGTAGTCCAGTGTGGTTCCTCCTCTTCAGACGAGCTGCCCTCCCCCTCATCCTCGGAAGATGATTCGCCAGGGGCAGTGGCGCGGTGGTGCGCAGTGTACAGACGCGAGAGAACTTCGGTGGCATCTAGACCGGCAGACTCGGCGAGTGTGCGGGGAATGACCTCGAAGGCCTCGGCGAACTTGCGGATGGCGTACTGGGGCAAACCAGGGGTTCGGTCGGCGAAGTTGGAAATGCGCTCGACGAGCTGGATCTCCGTAGCACCGGCACCAGGCACGAGACGGGGGTCCTTGGTGATGGCCTTGACGACGTTGACGCCGTCGTCGATGGCACGCTCGACATCCTCCAGGTGGTTCTGGGTGGCACCACGTAGGACAATGGTTGCTGTACGGGTAATAGCGTTAACATCCTCCTGACGGAAGACAGTCACTCGATCACCGCCAATCTCGGTCGTCTCTACAACGTCGATATGGCCCATCTCATCGGGCATGGGGGCACCCAGGCGAGCCAGAGGTGTGGCACCGACAACGCGGCACAAGCGGCGGAGCTCGAACTTGGACAGAATCTTAATGACGAGGATATTGAAACGGTTGAGGTAGTGCATGGCCAAGTCGCCAACAGTGGAGCCAGCAACGACCACACGGAGGCCGGAATCGTAGAGCTCCTTGATGGCAATCTCCAGACGATCCTCCTCGCCCGCGGTGAAGTCCATCATCTCCTTGGCATTCTTCAGGAGAACTGTGCCCTTGGTCTCGGTCTGGCTGATATCGATGGGGCAGCTGAAAACGCCGACCTTGGCCTTGCTGGCCTTCTTGATGGTTCCATCGGGCTCCCGGGGGAAGACCATACCCTTCACCACTTTCGACTGTTCCAAGCTACCACCCATGATCTTAACAACTCGCACGTTATCGACGTTGAAGTTAACGGGGTTCTTGGGCAGCACAGCCAGAACCGCCTCCGCAACCAACGCAGCCAACACGTCCTCCGTACCAGACTGCTTAGCAGCCACCACTGTGCGGAGAGCCTTGCTCAACTCTGTTGCCGATCGCATATCCTGGAGTCTGTCGACCTCGAGCTCTAGATGGAATCAGAAACGGTTCCCTCATTTGTATATCGACAAACCAATCATGGGGGGGAGGGGGCAAAACATACCCTCTAGAACCGACAAGGCAAAGATCTGAGCCTTCTCGTATCCGGAGACAATATCACTCGTCTTGAGACCCATACGGATCAACTCCTCTGCCTTCTTTAACAATTCACCGGCCAACACGATAACCAAGTTGGTACCATCGCCCATCTCCGCATCCTGCTGCTGACTCGCCATAACAAGCAGCTTAGCAGCGGGATGAACAACATCCAGCTCACGAAGAATTGTAGCCGCATCGGAGGTCAGAATCATCTTTTGCAGGTGGTTAATGACGATCTTGTTGCGACCATAGGGGCCCAGGGAGGTCTGGACGGTTCCTGAGATAGCCTGGCAGGCTTCGATGTTACGGATAACGGCACCATCTTCAGAATCGTGGCTGTATAGCAGAAAATACAGATCAGTCAATTGCTTTGCTTCTTTTTGGAGGGGCGCCAGATAAGGAGGTCCCTATTGCGGTGGGTTTTCGGGCTTCCCGACTTTTCGAACTCACCTCTGGTACCCGGCCTTGAAGAGCCCCGCCTGGGAGGGACCTGGAATTGATAGTGACATGATATTAGGTCGCGTCCGGTTGAGATGCGACTGGATATCAAATGGGTTGGATGTGAGAGAGTTGGAGCTGTTGTGCCGGGCAATTTTTGGAGCTGCGGTGGTGGGTTTGCTTGGTTTGCACGAGGGGGAGTTGCCCAGGGCTTGGCGCTCAGTATAGATCAGCTTACGAGTCTAATCCTTCAAGTTTTATATGGTTTTGCTGTATATTTTATGAGGTGTGTTATGGAGATGCTCTCATGTTTATCAATACATCGCTTAATGGTATTATACAGTTACCATCGCTCTATTGATCATCTCAAATATGAGACATGCGAATTATAAGCAGTGTGGAAACCAGGCACTAGAAATGTTAGCAGCTTAGTATATGGAACGAAGAAAGGAAACCTTACTGTATCCTTTGATAGAGTTGCATCCATTCTCCTCGTAGATTATGTTGGCCTTGTCGAGCCTATTTAGTCGAATTAGTAACAAATAGGGCAACGCAGAGGAAACGGTCATACCATCCTTGAATAGCTTCCATTCGGTTGTAACTCTACTATAAGTTAGTAATAACCCCTTCAAACAATTCTTCAAACCTACCGATGGGTGAGTGGACATGAATTGTGGAGGAGCCTGTTTCTCCTGTTCATACATGCGAGCCCATCTAGCAAGTATCAGCAGAGCCCAAGACGATGGCCCATTCTATCATATTGACTTACAGTTTAACGGCAGCCTCGGGGTTGAAACAGGCTCTGGCCATCATCACTGACAACAATCATTAGCCACATAATCGTAAGTTGATCCTTAACTTCAAGGGGTCATACTTAGCCCGATATTGTCTGCCTCGGCCTGTAGATAGAAATTAGCCAAGTGACCGTATAGCAAAAAACAAACAAAAAAAAAAACAATACCTCTTGCGTCCGTGAGTTCGGCAAGCTATACATGAGATTCAAAAGAAAAGAAGAAAACTGCCCGGAGACATCGAACAAGAAAGAGATAGCGAAGACAGCTCCTAGGGTAATGAAACTGTTGCTCACACGCTCAGCCGGATGATGAGCCACAACATGAGCAATCTCATGTCCCAGAACAGCAGCCAAGCCATCCTCGTCTTTGCAAATGGGCAAGATACCTGTGTAAACGAATACCTTCCCCCTAAGCGAAGCAAAACAACGTCAGCGATGTCCACCATAGAATCCAACCATCAACACCACAAACCCAACAGAACCTACCCAGGGAGCACAAAAGCATTAACCATTCCATCATCCTTGATAACATGAACCTTCCAATCAGCGCCCTCAATATTCACCTGCGGAATCAACCGCTGCAGCACGCCGTCAACCATACGAGTAAGAGGATGGTTGTGGGGCAGGATCTTCCCACGCTCGGAACTGAGTACCTCGCGGTAGCTCTCTTCACCCATATTTAGCTCCTGGTGACGAGAGACACAATTGAACCGTCGTCGGCCGGTCATCTCCACTATCTCCGTGTTGTATAGATAAAGTCCGGATATCCCCACGCCAATCGCAACAAAGTGGTGCGGCTTTGCATTCTGCACTAAGCGGAAGACGAGGGGTTGGCGGGCGCTGCCTCGAAATCGGTTGTATTGGTTGCGTCTTTGTTGGTAGGGGGATTTATGGCTTGAGGAGAAGGTACGCCGGTTGCTTGGGCAAGGTGTGGGAAATGAGAGCTGTGATCGCGGTCGGGGTTGTCGTAGCAGAGAGGGAGCCCAACAAATAGACAGCTGAGGCCCTGGGGTATTGTATGAGCGTGACGTTTGAGCTGCTAGTGAAGCGGCCTTGAGCTTGGTGGAGGGCTTCGGCGATAAGAAAGGGTATGCGCATGCGCTGCGAAAAGCACGCGCCATAGATTGACGGAGCATGGTCGAGAACCTGTCTACCTCTCTATGCAAATGCCGAGAAGGAGAGAATTCAAGAACTTGCAATGACCTAGGTAAACCAGACCTTCCCCGGGGAAGTTGCATGAAGGTTGAACTGAGCAACACGGCGATAAGCAGCCACTCTCCCCGTTTTCGTGACATCGGGGAGCAACGTCATGTCTCCAGAATCCCCACTCTACTATGAGGATATCCTAGTTTCTTCTTCAAATTTAGTCTTGACATAGTTTACCGTTCCTCTCAGTACATACATAGACAGGCCTACGAGTTGATTCACCTAAGAAAGAACAGTTTCGATGAGGTGGGTATGTACTAATCCAAGGCAACTCATAGATTCAGTCTAGCAAGGCTGGATGTATAGAAAAAGAAAATCAAGTCCGGTAAATCGTCATATGTTCAAACAAGTTAAAAAACCGACAGAACCCCATCCCACCCGCGCACCATAGCCGAGACCGTCAGCAATTACATAGAAACAGAGATGTTATGTCCAAATACAGCGGAAACACATCAAGAACAAAGCCCCTGGTATCATGTTGGGTAGTCATGGGAACAAAGTGGTATCATAGGGATGGCAAAAGAAATCGCAAAGGGGGAAGAAAAAGGGGAAATAACACGTCGACTCGGTATGTAAAAGTCAATAATGTAAGACAAAGGAAAGCGTTTCAAAAAAAAAAAAAAGTCAACACGAAGAAAAAGACGTAAGGTTATAGAGAGTTAACTCCCTACTCCTCCGTCAAAGCATCGTCGCCAGTCTCGCGCCAGTCTTGGGATCGCTCCGTCAACCGACGCACACCGGAGACACGCTGGGCCCAGTGGGCTTCGGATGGAGTGCGGAAGGTGTAGGCGCGCTGCGAGGAGATCACACCAATGCTTTGTAGCACTGCTTTGCGTGAATCACGCCCGAAGACTGCCGGGTGGTTGATCCACTCCATGGACGATTCCAGATCTGCGTTCAGGGCAATCATCGTCTGAGTATCGACCGCGGAGGGTGGTGTGATAGTGTTGGTGTCGGATGCGGATGAATGGGTTCCACTAAAGGTAGATGATTTAGGAGAGGAGGCCAAGACTGGGGTGTCACCACGGCTGTCGGCATCGCTGTCGGACCGGGAAGCACCCGGGGGCAGCGGTGGTAGGCCACCCTTGCCCAGGCCCTTGAGAATGCTGCGCGTTTCGCTGAGAAGGTGCATCGCGCGATCATTCTGGCCCCGAGATACCAGAGTGAGAGCACGGGTCAGCATGTCGGATGTTAGAAGCTCCATACGGCGCTGCACAATCGAGGGGTGGGGAGGAATTGGTGGCGTAGGGGATCGATGGCCCTTGGCCCGAGGATTAGGAGGCAGCATAGTAATGGCCAGGAGTGAAGGTCGAGGGGAGTGCGTGAGATGGCCATCACGGAGGAGGTCGCCGTAGGTTAAATCAGCCTGGATCAATGGAACCTCTTCAACGCTCATGACTCGGCTATCATCGCCATCAGAACCGCCGCCGAGAGCCTCCAATCCGGAGACTAGGCTCTCCCACGGATCCTGCGGCATGCTGTCCTGCGTGGCATTGTCAGGCTGGATGACAAGTTGAACCAAGACGTCGCGTTTGTCACCGAATCGGAGATCACCCAGTGCAGCTTCTGCATCTTTACCAGTTGCACGCTTTGTGGTGTGAAGAGCGCCGCTAATCTTAACAAACTTGGCGGGTGATCCTTCAGGTAGGCGGAGCTTCAACTTGACGTTTTGGTGGGAGGTTGTCTGCAACGCGCCCAGGCATCCAGCAACACATTCTCGCAACATCATCCAATCCTTTACATACAAGTAAGATCCCTTAGTACGAGTAGACAACTCAATCATGGTATCAGGCTTATGGGTCAATCCAAGTCCGAACGAGTGGATGTTGACCTTGGCAGCTTCCGCGCGGGAGACCACGAAATCAACGCTTTCGGGGTCGGAAATAGAAGAGTCGCTGATCAAAAGGATGGTTGAGATGGGGTTGTTGAATTTGCGCTGCATCAGAAGATCCATGGCGACATTGGCACCTTCAACCACGTCTGCACGGAGACTTTTTTGACCAACCGGCCGAATCGATTCGAGGATCTTCGACCATCCAGCCCAGGGCTTGGTGGTCATACCAACCAGGGGCACACCTCCACCACTCGAGCCAAAAGTCACGAGGCCCATCCGGTCCCGAGGGCCGAGATTCTGCACGAGGAATTTGAGGGCATCACGCAGGAGAGTAATCTTCAAGCCTTGCATAGATGAGGATACCGGAATTACCACGACAAGATCGAGGGGAATATGAATAGTGTTGATTGCAGGGAATTCTGATTCGGGGTTGGTGTAGTCTGTAATGGCGGTATTGATGGATTTTGCTGCGCCGTAAGACGAATTGATAGAAGCCTGTCGTTGAATTCCACGGTTACCACGGTAGTCATCGTCCTCCGCCCCCGAGTTATCATAGTCATAGTCATTTTGGCGTGAATTGGCTTCTGGGTGCAAATCGATCAAAGACCGACGCCACGTCTTCAGCTCGTTGCGATTCTTGAAGCGAAGGTAGAAACAGGGCAGCTCGGTGACGGAAAGGTTCAAGGAGAGAACAGGTTCATCTGGGGACACCTCGATGGACTTTAAATGCTTCTTAATCAAAATTGAGCCCTTGAGACTGCAACGAACAGGCTTGCGTCGTCCGGTCGCATCGAATTGGGGGTCAGATGATTTTTTCTCCTTCACACAGATAAGCATCTCTTTGAAAAGATAGCATTCTAACTCCTGCCAGGAATCTCGATCCTTGCCCACGCGCATGTGTCCGTGGAGGCGCAGCTTGCCGAACCGGTTGAATTCAAGACCGTGCCAATTGTCCACGCGGCTGCGCAATTCCTCAGCCACTTCTTCCATATTCTCTGTTGGCTCATACTGGATTGATCGAGCATCCTGTCCACCACCTGATCGTCCCGCGTAGACCCCATCCGGCTGCGATTGCCCCGAAGGCGTGTGTCGTAGGTCATCTAAGTCCGGACGCCAATTGGCATCTGGCACTTCGACCGTAATCAGACACGTGAGGGTCTGCTGTTGGCGGGATCTGTTCAAAGTCGGGAACTCGCTTCGGACGGTGACTATCGGCGCGGGAATGGGATTCTTGGCGACCTTAGGGCGAGGACTGAGGTCTGACTCCATAGCCTGTACATCATAATCATGGCGCCGTCCAGTGCTGGTGTGCTGGCCTTCATTGTATTCGCCCGATGAGCCGGCCGCGCTACCATTCCGGGAGTGGGGTTGACGAGGATTAGAGGCCACAGTCAATCGATCTACGCGCTCACGCTGGCTGCTGGTATCACGGCTATCTCGCCGACTATATGATGAATCTCTCGATGGGTTGTAGGATTGTTCTTTTGGTGAGGGGTGATAAGATGGCTCCCTCGTTGAAGGGTTGTAGGGTGGCTCCCTCGCTGAAGGGTTGTAAGATGGCTCCCTCATTGAAGGTGGCTCCCTCGTTGAGGGATTGTAAGGTGGCTCTCGGGTACCCGACGTGTAACGACTGCCGGTATCACTTGGTCGTCGACCCAACTGTTGCTCCCATGGAGTTGGTGTTGTCAAGCCACTGCGTACTGTAGCGGTATCATTCGATGTCACTGAGCGGACAATATTACTGATTTTCTCTGGGGACAATCACATTAGCCTTCTGAGCCCCTCTCAACCCCGCGCGAGGGACGTACCGATATCCAAGACATTTCCACCGCGACTTGTGTCCAAGGCCAATGGCGCATTGCAGGTTGGGCAGTATTGACCATCGCATTCCCGCAGAAATTCATAGAAACAGGCCTCGTGGGAGACATGGGAGCACGAGAGCTGCAAAACACGCTCGCCGCGTAGGGTATGCTCCAAGGGTTCCTCGCAGACGGCGCATTCGCTCCCGACAAAGGTCCGGTCCCTCCGTGTGTGGGTGCGATCTACCTCCATTGGGCCGGTGGTCCGTCCCGACCTTGAATGAAATGATGCCCGAGAGCGATTGGAATGCGCAGATTGACCAGCGAGTTCCGGGTAAGCAGAATTGATCTGTCCGGCGACAGTCGAGGTTGCTCTTGACCGGGTAAGATCGGCCTGGTTGGAAAGACTGCTGCTAGGTCGGTCTATCACGCCTCGAGTGAACGAACGAAATGAACGGAGAGGTGAACGAGAGGATGATTCTGGCTGCAATTGAAATTCTATACGTCACCGGTATCCGGTTAGCAAGTTGGGACCTTTCAAGGCTAATAGCAGATTGAGGTCGAAGCTCAAGGATTGAAGATGTGGATAGAAGAGAGAATAAAAAGGCGCAAACCACACTCAGGGGAGAGTGGTTCAGTCCGACCTGTCCCATGAGGCATCTAGAACCGGCCACAATAGTCTCAGATCTAGGACATTTGGCCCTAGACCGAGATACTGGAAGAGAGACACAGAACACTTACTTTTGGGCTTTTTGGATCGACCTAGGAGACCCAGCTCAGTTAGATGTTGTTGAGTTGAGTCGGTCCCAGAGTTGTCCTCCGATCTAAGTGAACGTTTCCACATCGACTCTCAAAGGAAACAAAGAGGTGGGGGGGAAAAGAAGGAAAAAAAAAAAAAAACAAAGCAAAAGGAGATCGAAAAGTAATCAAAAAAGGATAATAAATAAAAAACAATTAAAGCCAAATACAATAAACATTAAATCCAGGCATTTCAAGAGGTAATAGTGGTACTTCGTATACAAAGATGAAGAAAGATGGAGCTGAACAGGGGGGTACACGGAGTATACACAACACGTTTTAGAGTGGACACATGGTTAACTGAAAGACTAAAACAGAAAGAGAAAAAAACAAAAAACAAAAAAACAAAAAAGAAACCATGGAATTGGTCAAGATCTTGGGTAGGACAATAGTCCCACCCTCAACCATGGGTTTGGAGGTGGAGATCCCCTGAATTAATTGAATATTTTACAGTAGTTGGCGCTACTGCACCCCTTATTATCCGCCTTATACATAGTGAACGAGTGATATCTCTTCTTATTCCATCTTGCATTCCACGGCTCCGTGCAGAGGGTGAGGTGGTAACTAGTCAATGGGTCCTCCTACTCCGTACCTTGGTCCTTCAATGCAATTGTGGTCCTCTCGGGGTGACATCGGATATCCGATCGGCTTTACAATCCGCTTACAACATAGGGGATCTGATCCTGGAATCGGGTTTATTTAATTTACTATGGAGCACAAATGGAGTAGTACCTGGATTATATTACTATAACTATTATTTATTAACCTTTGGACTGATTAACCTCTTCTTCTGCATCTTATGTTCTTATGCTATACCTTGACTCTAAATCTGGCCTCTGTCTGGGTTCATCTTTTCCATGGACTCTAGATACCCAAATATTTGGCAGATCCACCAACCTCGGGGAATTACTCCAGACGTTCCAAAAGAACATTTGACATCTGGATCCGTGAGTGGTGATAACAAGGTTGGCTAGTGGATTTACTTCGGATCGGATTAACTTGGCATACGCGGGACTAAGTACCAATCAGTCACGTGATCGAAAGTGGCTCATATATCCGCTAGTCGTATACCCACTCAATATTGGCTAAGGACCACGCGCCTGGAACATCGGACAGTGGCAAGTTTCTCTGTCGATCCAACGGCTTCCCCCCTGTCAAAAGGTTTGGCTCTGAAGAATTATGGAAACCGGAGATTTATTTTTTTGTCAGGCAAAGTCATTCTGCAATGACGCAATCTCTCTTCAACTTCAACCCTTCCAGGGTTTACCCCAGCTCCAAGCTCTCCCTGCTGTCGGTGATCGACATCTGGATCATCAACAAAATTGGTCGGGTCCGGATGTCGTGAACGCAGTGGCGTCTAGACGCACCTCTGGAGCTTTGACGATCACTCCTTCAACGGACTCCAACGGAAAGTTTATGTCATGAGCAACATGACGGAGTGGTTATGACAATCTCCCTAGCTCCTACCACAACTGGGTCAACGAAAAAGCCCTTGGCCCAATTGGTCTGGCTCATCTTCGCTTTCACTCCTGAGCTCCCTCGTCACGTCTGCATTGGACTCCGGCGGGTCTATCCTGTTCGTCACGCTCATTAGCGCTTAGCCATCTGTGCTAGGAATAGGAGAGGCGAAGCTAGAAGAAATTGGCTTGCACATCATTGACTGTAGCTCCCCCGTTTATGGATCATACCGGCTGCCGGGGTGGGTACGCATGTTGTCTACGCGGTGATCGACATACTCCTGTCTTTTTGGATACTGCAGAGCGTCTGTGCTTACTTTAGCTACTTCTCCACTGTCTCAGAAAAGCCGTCTAGACACAACACTGACTACTCCGTACGGAGCAGTAGATGACGATTGGCAACGCTTCCCCCTTTTGAGGTGGAGGTTTGCTATTGTATCTATTGCGAACTATGCATGTAGGCACGCCCCTTGTGCTGGTCTGCACGTCATCCTGCGTCGGAGAATTGTCATGCAGGATAATCGAGACTGCAACGGAAAGTGGAGTTGACTGGTAACAACTCCTCACTGCTCGTCCCTGAGCTGTCAATTAGCATACATATCCGGCTATTCTCTGCATTCTTACAATAATGATCCATATCACGATCCACATATATGTACTTTGTACACGAAGCGCATAGATCACTCAACGATCATGACCGTTGAGGTTTTCAGAGCGGAGACAATGTAAATACAGTCTAACTCCTTTTAGCAGGTTGATCTTTTCTCTCCTCCCAATTCTGAGGTACCTATGAAACACTGGTTTCAGAGTACGAGCTGGTCGCTTCCTTAGTGCGTTACAAGTTGGAAGTGGCTCAAGTGGCTTGATCCCGATGATACAGGGCTGCGATATGGCACGCTCCTAGTTTGTGCATCGTAAGTTTTGAAAGGCGACTCCCTGGTCTTTTAATAGTTGTATGCAGTTGAGTTATTTTTACGTGCAGGTATATGCAAGTGGATGCATGTACATGCAGGTCTCATTGGCCGGGCCGATCCCGAGACCTGATGATCTCTAGCGCATAAAAGACTCGAGACCTTGAGGTTTTGGTCAACTTTGGTAAATGCAGACTTGCAGCTCCAACGTAGCAACGAAGATATAGATCCTTTCGGGTTGGCTAACTCAAAGCCGACTTCTATCAAACGTGTGATAGACCCGATCTATAGTCTAGTGTACCTGAAACAGATCGTCTATGCAAGTGAACGCTTCAAATCCATGAAGGGCTCCTGAACACACTCGTTCTCACACATATCGACTCACACAAAGTACATAACGAGGTATCTCATGGTCCTACGCGAGGATGTCTTGGATCCTATCAGCCCGGGCCACTAGGATTGTCTCAGTTGAATCAACCCATTATCTTATTTGCAAGACTTAGCATGGCCATTCGAATAAATTGTAATATAAGTTAATATAATTTATATATAAACTTGAGCCAATGCGCGAACTGATGGGGACGTAGCGTCATTCGTCAGTCCAACCCCATACAACTTAACGACGTCTAGCGTTTTTTTTTTTTTTGGATCTATCGCTTTCGTACTTTTGCAGCAAGGTAATTTTGGACATGTCTATCGTTTACTCTGTACTATTTGTGTTGATGTTTCTGACACGTATCTTCTTAGTATTAGTCAAGATAATATGACATGTCTGTTCTTGTCTTTGTTCAACGGCTTTAATCGTGCCTCTGTGATGTGTCGAGTTCATACTTGAAACAGTCTATACAATGTTTGGCGTAACAACGCTCACGCTTGATGCATGGGTGTCGTCTGATTGGTACGGCAGAATTGTGTTATGTAGCCCAAAGCTCCTAATCAACTCTGACTTATACTAGTATGGTCAGTATAGATAGATTCGAAGTTCAGAATAATCGGCTTGGGTGGTTTCATGATCTAACATAGAGAATGTGACATCAAACAAGGTGCAAATCATTGTTCAACTAATGCACTGGCTAGTTCATTGGTTTTTCTCATACGACGAGCTTTTTCAATCTTGAATTTGTCGGAAACGGCATGCTTGAGCAATTGCTTCAAGAGGATTCTCTTTATGACTATCCATGGATGGAATCAATTTCGGCTTTGGGTGAGTGCATGTAGGATAAACACGATCCATGGCCACACTATAGAATGCCTGAAATAATCATTTACAGGAAGTAAGAGATATGAATGTATTGTTTCATTTGATAAAGACAAGCAAAGATCAACCCTTGCCCGGAAAGTGTAAGTGCACTTTCTCAAAGCTTTGGCGAAGATACATCAGGTGCTTCAAACCTCGGACAAAGAATTTGGGCATAGAATAACATGTCTAAACCCATGGAGAGAGAACGTCCGCCAGATCTCCTCATATCTCCATGAATAAGAGCCCAATTCCTCGGTTCATTTCCCTGCATCAAAGCATCCACAGAATTCTCTCTCGCAGCTCTGACTCGGGTCGGCCGGTCATTTGCATCATCAGGCCAATCGACTCCTCCACTCCGATCCTGACTGTGCGGACTTCTTCGACTCTGACCACATAACGCAGTCCATCATCAATAACAAACTCATCTTCCAGTCTGATCAAGCCTTGGTAGTGAGCGCTGACTCTGTGGGCGTCGAGATCATAGAATGCGCAATTGTTGTTAACTGAAATCGTGCCGTACACGCGAATAGTTACTTTGACATCCGGGAAGCCTTTGAAGATATTGGCAAAGGTTGGTCCGTCACTGGTGATGGAGTCCCAGTGGTTCAAGACAAACATGATGTCGAGGCCGTAGGTTCGGCCATACACGAGTATGTCGGTCAAGGACTCGAACGAGTCACTATCAGGCTGCAGAGGGGTGATCGATTTATGAATCAATGGGCAGTAGCAGTAGGAACGGCCTTCCAGCTTCCCATACTTGCGCACATACTCTGCCTGGAGCTCAATCAGGGCGGGGCGAAGGTAGTACTTCAGTTGGTCAGGGTCGATACGTGCGGCAGGGGGAGCGCCACGAGCAACGAACACAATCAGGGGCTCTGCAGTAGTGATGGGGGGGCCGATGGGAGGACCGGTCACAAATTCTATGGCAGCGGGTTCCGCCATATCGAGATCAGTGTTACTTGATGGTTTGTTAGATTTTTGACCTTAGATAGAGGTATGGTACAATAATACCTTAGTCACACCGGTTCAGAAGCTGATGCAGAGAAAGGAAGGACAATGAGGGGGAAAGCAGCATCTTAAACAGTAAGGCTCGGCGTTCATTGCTCAACATGCGATGCGTGAACAAACTGTACTGCTATGTGGAGGGTGAATAACTGAAGTCAATAAAGCCAATAGAGCATCCTCTTGGGGTCTTATTGAGCTAAGGATATAGATTCTGAAAGGCTCAAAAGGATTAGGGAGAAGGCTATTTTGCCTTTTGAGCCTGTCAATGGTTATTCCTCTCAATAGTCCCGAGGTTGACATCAATTGCCTTTTGATATTCATTTGGGAGTCTTGTCATAGTAAAAGCATACATATCTCGGAATGTAGTATATGCGAGTCTGTTCTTGTGACTGCTACTGTAATTATTTATCAGGTTAGGTTCATGTTGTTAATAGCTCAGTCACTGATATATCACAGCCTTGTATATATTCTGCTTTACAAGACTATACATTGTTTGTGAAGCTTGTTAAAGACAGAATACTTCACCTACAGGTATTGAAGAAGTAACTAGTCCTCTAGAAAAGCTTGAATTTGATATTCCTATCACCGAAGGGTTGAAGTTGCGATGTTATATAGAGATGCACCGCACCGTGGAGATATCGGAGATCAAACCCCGAATAGAGTCCCTAGAGGCAGAAATGCCAGTTGTTAGTCGGGAAAATTCATCGAATACCCCCAGAGACGTTGCCAAATACAAGAAGACCTCAAATATCACAGTATTCATGTTCAGAGAGCGAAGTACTTTCAAGCATCGGACCCGGCCTGACTTCGCTCACCGGGCGGCCCCGATCTGGAAGCTGACTAAGACGGCAAAAGTGAAGAGAGTTGTTGGGAAAAAGGTGCATCACCTTCAACATACCATCTCCAATTCCTTTACAAAATGCTCTTCCGTGCCGCGGTCCGTCAAGCTGCGCCTTTGAGGCGTCATGCCTTCACTCCTCTTGCCCGTCGCACTGTTACCACCGACGCAGCTTCAGCTAACGTCGAGAGCCCACTGCCTGATGTATGTTAGCCCTATCCGGAAAACTGAAACTGCTCAATCTTTGTAGGGTTTCCATTGCTAATGCTTGCGCTATAACAGGAGGATCACAAGCTGTTCACTGTCCGTCTCTCCGATGAGAGCTTCGAGACTTATGAGCTCGACCCACCCCCGTACACTCTCGAGACCTCCAAGAAGGAGCTCAAGCAGATGTACTACGACATGGTCGCGATGAGGTACGATAAGCATGGCATGGGATCTTTGATGTTTGAGCTAGCCGCTGACTGACTGTGTGTTCTTTTGCAGACGTATGGAGATGGCCGCCGATCGTCTGTACAAGGAGAAGAAGATCCGCGGTTTCTGCCATCTGTCGGTCGGACAGGAAGCTGTCGCTGTCGGAATTGAGCACGCCATCACTCGCAAGGACAAGATTATTACCGCTTACCGCTGCCACGGTTTCGCCATGATGCGTGGTGGTACCGTCAAGTCCATCATTGGTGAGCTTCTCGGCCGCCGTGAGGGTATCGCGTACGGCAAGGGTGGTTCTATGCACATGTTCGCCGAGAACTTCTACGGTGGTAACGGTATCGTCGGTGCCCAGGTGCCCGTCGGCGCCGGTCTGGCCTTCGCTCAGCAGTACAATGAGGAGCCCAACACCTCCATCGTCCTCTACGGTGATGGTGCCTCTAACCAGGGTCAGGTCTTCGAGGCCTTCAACATGGCCAAGCTGTGGAACCTTCCCGTTCTCTTCGGCTGTGAGAGTAAGTCGTTTCTTCCAAGTCTTAATAGCATCAAAAAAGTCCGCAGATGTACTGACGCTATGTTCTTCTAGACAACAAGTACGGCATGGGTACCTCCGCCGCACGCTCCTCCGCTCTGACCGAGTACTATAAGCGTGGCCAGTACATTCCCGGTCTGAAGGTCAACGGCATGGACGTCCTAGCCACCAAGGCCGCCGTCCAGTACAGCAAGAACTACGCCATCACCGGCAACGGACCCCTCGTCCTAGAGTACGTCACCTACCGTTATGGTGGCCACTCCATGTCCGACCCCGGTACCACCTACCGCAGCCGTGAGGAGATTCAGCGCATGCGCAGCACCAACGATCCTATCGCTGGCCTTAAGCAGAAGATGCTCGAGTGGGGCGTCGTCTCCGAGGAGGAGCTCAAGGGTCTCGACAAGACCGCCCGTGCCAACGTCGACGCCGAGGTCGCTGAAGCTGAGGCTATGGCCGTCCCCGATAACACTCCCCGCATCCTGTTCGAGGACATCTATGTTCGTGGCTCTGAGCCTAAGTGGATGCGTGGTCGTACTGTCGATGAGACTTTCTACTACTAGATTGTTTTGCCCTATAGGCACTTCTGTGCATCATGGAAGAGCTTTTTAATTGTTGTGTGAAGGCTCGGGAAGATATTCTTGCGTCGTTCTATCATTTATCTGTAATTTAGCCCGATGACTGTTTCCTCTTATGTTTGTTTACTTGTTTCCTGTTCTAGAGTAGAGAGCAATTGCCATCGGCTGGGTCCTTTTCAAGTTCAGTACATCAAATTTTAGCAAGTAGTCTTGCAATATCTTCATCAGGAATTTTAAACAAGCCTTGGTTAGCAATATCAGCCATCGAAGATATATAGGCACGCCGTCCTTCGCAGTCGATTATGGGTATCACATCAAAAAGAAATAAAAAAAGTAAAAGTACAAGCAAGAATAGAAGGGAGACAACAAGCCATGTCTAGAAAAAGTACCAAAGCAAGGCTCAACCTACATCAAGCAGGCTCTTGTCTCAACATTTCAAGAATCAGGTCCTGAGTCCGCTGCACAGAATCCAATTTTTCTTCCATCACAACACGTTCGCGCTCCAACTCACCTCGAAACTGAGCCTGCATCTCCTGGCGTAGCTCTTGCTTCATTTGCTCAATCTGGATGTGACTGAGACCTTGTTCCTGCGGCCGTGACTGTTGGTGCTGGTGTTGGTGGAATGCAGGCTGTACCTGCGAGTGCTGTGGTTGCCGGGGGAAAGCCAGAACCGGGGGTTCTGGGGCAGCTTGTACTAAAGCCGAGATCATGGGTGAGGCGGCACTGGCGTCTATATCGCCCCCGGATGCGGCCTCTAGGTGTTTGTTGAGTTTTCCAAGTGTTTCGATGACGGCTGAGACTATACGGCCGTCGGATTGTGGAATTGGGGGTGTGGAGGGAAGAGGTGCAGTGACTTGTGGGGTTGAGAACATATTCTCAAACCCCGGTGGTAGTTTCAGTGAGCTGATCGCGGAGACAGGTGTAGAGGGCGATTCGAGGAAATGCGCGGGGGGCGTAGGACCAGTAATCGAGGGCGAGGGTGTAGGGCTGGTAGCCGGGAGGGCAGTATCACCGACGGTATCCGCGACAGGCTGATGCATCATATCCATAATTGAGGTATTGACATCAGTCGGGCTAGTAACAGATGACCCAGACATGTTCCGCCATGGGTCCTGGTCTCCATTTTGAGAATTCTGCCGCCAGGGCTGCGGCTGTCTACGTTTCTTGAGCTCGTCGCGCTTTGCAATGCGTCGATTCTCGGCTTCTTCCCACCGCTGCCAGGTCGGAAGCCAAGCATCGACAGCAGCGAGCCATTGCGGGTTCATCAATTCCTCGGCCGTTGAGCCGGCTGCGTTTGAGACCCGCTGTCGCTGGTCCTCGAGGAACTTGATGCGCTGCCTTGTGACCATTTCGACTTTGCGCCGCACTGAGTGCCACGAGTATGAGCGCCCCTCATGGACACGCTTGAACTCGGCGGCGATGGATATCCACCACTTGCACAGATTACTGCGGCTGCCGAAGGTCCCTGCATTTTGGTTGCAGATCTCAAACAGCACTATTTCTTCTTTGGTTGTGAGACGTCTATGCTGCCGTGAAGTGTCACCATCGAACTCATCGTCGCCGTTGTGATTGCGCTTCGTGCCTCTGTTGGTGGTTGATCCTGACATCAGCCTTGACCCAACTCCTTCGCTGGTTTGAGCTACGCCCACCGGCATCGGCGCATAGTATAGATCGCTTTCGACGATGCCTCCTTCACGTGAGTCACTTTTGATTAGGTTTGCCCCTCGATGTGTCCCTTGGCTGCTCTGTGATGCGTTATCGGTCGTATGTGGATGCCTCACTACCACGGACTGGGAAGCTAGGCTGAACCCTGAGCGCAGGTCTGATGGTACTGTCCCGAAGTAATTTTGTGAGGGATAATGATACGAAGGATGGCAGTATTCGTGTGGTTGAATGCGCGTCATGAGCACAGCAGCTTGCGCGGTGGCCGAGCAGCCGCTGTGGGAGACCAACAGTGCACGTTGGGTGGTCTATTGGCCCAGGGGATAGTCTCCCTAGTTCAAAATAGCCATCAATAGGGTGACAATAGTGTAGCAGACCAATGCAGAAAGTCCTTGTCGATCTGTGGGGATAAAGATAAAGCTGCGATGGATTTCACCTGAGGGTTTTCCACGAGGCCCGTGCGCCGAGCATAGTATGGCAGCTCTGGCTCCGTACAGTCTTGTATCTGAGGATGAGCTTCAATCGGGTCATTTGACAATTTGATCGTGTTTTGATTCTGCCTAATTATATGTAGCTATTTGAATTCTATAGTTCTCATAGGATTTGAGTATTCATGTGCTGCACATTTATACTTTCGCGATGTATATGTTGGAGCTTCAACCACCTCTAGGTACCTGCCAACAAGTTCTGTCATGTCCTCACAACTTCATGTGAGGCTCTAATAGTTTTTGGGGAACCAGAGCTTAGTACATCAAGAATAAGCTGCTCGACATATCTACCTATAACAGGTAGGCAAAGCAGCCAGGTCTACGCAAGGGTCATAAAACATCAACATCAATAATATATCCATTTACGACACATCATGGCTATGGTGGTACAGGGGGTGGGGTTGACACAAAAAGCTCCAAAGACAGGCAAAACAGGAACCAACACCATGGTCAACATGATCCAGAAATATGCAGAAAGGGAGGAAGATCTAAGCGCCCACTAATACACAGATGGGAAGTTTAGGGGGAAATAGTAGAACAGTAGAGACAAACGAGGAAGGGACAGGCTAGGCAGAGAAAGACAGGCCAATCGAATCCTCTACCACCGTCTCCTCAGGTACCAGCCATAAGCCGGAGTGGCAATGGTCTCGCCGAAGGGAGTGGGCACCTCGGCGGAACCGGGACGGGCCACCGGGTGGCGCAGGTACACGGCTGCACAAATGTTCTGATTGACCTCGAGGTAGCGCGGGATGAAGGCAAAGGCAGACATGTATTGGCGTGGTTGCCAGGGGGTGGAGTAGGTCTTGCTGTTGTCGAGAGGATTATCGCGCATTTGAGTAAGAGCGCGCTTGAGCGTCTCGAACTCTTCGTCGCTGAGTTCCGAGGCATCGACTTCATTACCTAGTGTTGCCTGCGAGAAGGCTTCGGAGAGTTTGTCGCTTACTGCGGTTTCTGTATCTTTCCTGGCGGCAGCCAATTCCCTATCTCCCTTGTCGGATGCGAAGGCGTCTTCTGGACGGAGTTTCACGTCCTTATTGTCTGGCTTCTTCTCGGCCCGCTTGGCCTTGAGAAGCAGGGTTAATTGGGAAAACTGGGCTTCCAAGCTGTCTGCGAGGACAGTGCTGGACTCGGAGCGGGACAATACGCGGCGGACAGCTTGTTGGAAGCCACGGAGCTCCTGCTTGCGTTGGGGCGCGAGTGTATCCTTGCCGGCAGACATGATAGACTTGGCCTGTGCCATAAGCGCCTTGAGAGTCTCCTTAGGATCCTCCTTTTCGGTCTCCTTGGCCTCTTCCTCTGCGGTCTCCTTGGTCTCTTCCTCTGCGGTCTCCTTTGACTCCGCCTCAACCTCTTCCTCTGAGGTCTGTGCCTTCGCCTTTCTCCGAACCAATCGGCCCTGACGCCGCTCGTACGCAGTCTTCGTATGACCAGTAGCGTACATTACGCGCTCTGGCTCAACCTGGAAAAGGTCACCGGGGTTGAGGAGATAGCTGGGATGTTTCATCTAGCACAAAAGCGAGTCAGTAAATAAGGAATCGGTAGCTTCCCACGTCGCATCATACCTTTTGCCCGTTAACAGTGACCGCTCCGTGGATGACGAACTGTCTCGCCTGTCTGGCACTACTAGCAAAGAGAGCTCGGAAGATGGCTACATCCAACCGACGCTCTAGGGGCGCAAAGGTCATCTGGGTGTAAGGTGTAGGACGTTTCTGGTAAGCGGGCTTGCCGCCCATATCGAGTCCTGAGCCGCGACCGGATGAAGCTTGGGAACCGTCATCGGCGGCCAAGTCGGATGCATTCATGGGGATAACACTGCGGATGCGATGGTTGAACATGCGTTTCCACTGTCCCTCGCGGACCTGCTCGCCATGATAGGCACGGGAAGCAGCCTTAGCAGACCATTTCTGCTGGAAGAATGTGCGATTGATGGTGGGTGGGCTGCGGAATCGTTGCATGTTATACAGGTTGTATTTGCTCCATGATTGACGGATTTTCTGAACAGTGTCTTGTTAGTCTTCTGACACTGGGGGAATTGAGTACAGTGTAGATACATACGCCTTTCGACAAAGTATTGGTAGCTCTGTTCCTCATTATGGCGATTCGGTAAACACAATGCTGTAGAAAATGATATGCTTTCTAGTCCGAATTGGCCGAGTCTCAAAACTTCAGAGCACGTGACTGTATGGTATTAATGCCTTAAATTTCAGGAATCAACTGCTGGTTGGATTCGATGTTTGCCTGGTTTGCATATTATGTAAGGGGATCCTCTTGATGATTGGTCAATCAAATATCGCTTGATGCCACCGCCCTGTATGAATCTGCCACCGCCCCAGGGAAAAGGTATATAAGGATGCCTCCCCCCCAGGCTCTTCCTCTTTTTTTTTTTCTTCTTCATACTTACCTTGTTTGGGTGACTGTGATCAATAAGACGGTTCACCACAGGCTGGTCCCTGCATTGCACATCGCGGCGGAACAGTTTGTTCAATGGCACTCGTGTCATTGACAGGCGTATTCTTTGGCACCTCCATTCGTGGAATATCTTCTTTTCATCAATCCTCGAGCCAGTGGCACGAGATTGGAGACGAGTAATGTACTAGTTGATGCGTTGTAGCCACACTTATTTGTAACTAAGTGAGGCCATGGTGTCCTAAGCCTGTCTACCACGCGTGAAATCTTTCTCGTGAAATGTTCAAGTCTGCCCCCATACCCAATCTCCCCTTCTCTGTGCCGACCCCGTGGGGCATTCTGGTCCTTCGATATCATCTCTCTGGCACATTCCCGCCATGTCGTGTCGCACCTGCCATGCACATGATTTCTTTATCACTTCTCCCTTCACAGCTGAAAGATAAAAAGTCCGGTGAAGCATTGAGAAAGATGTCTACTACTGTTGCAACTTGCCGCTCACGTTTGTCTTAAATCCCTCCCACTGAAGATACGTATACCATTCCTGATCTCTTGAATGATATAAAGTACGAAATGAAATTGTTTGGTATATGGTACAGAAAATATTCTTACCCCCTAGACAACACATCGCGCCATGTCCAATGCATACAAATCCCAGTCGTACAACGTTAAGCATCTTCCCTATGATCACTATATCACTCTCTCCTAGTACTTGGGAAAGCCTCCGCTAATGAGTCCGCTTCTTGCGGATTAGTCCATTCCTCCAGTAGCTCATGTGCCATATCAACGGTTTCATCATCGATGCCTGCCTCCAGCACGGTACCATCACAAAAGGCCAAGCGGGTTAACACAACAAGGTGTTTCTGTTTGCTGCCAGGTACGCATGCCAGTTTCTCCTGCATATTGATCAAGGGGCCGTGTAGCCGCATGACACCGAAAATCAGCCGCATAAGGCCATTGACTAGCGCGACACGTAGGTCTGACTCTGGCGGAGATGAGTAAAGTGCATCCAGCTCATCATGCATCGACCGGAATAAACGAGCGAGTGCATTCGGGTGCAAGGCCAGGATCGTACTGGCATGCCTTTGGGATTGGCCCATAGGGTTGAATGCCAGTGACTCCAGCAGCAGTAGGACCTCGAGGCGCATTGCACAAATGTCGCATGCAGTGTATGGCTCGACACCTTCGTCCGGTATGGCGGGCTCGCTCAGCATATGCGTGAGGCGGTCCACTATCCACTTTTGTACATCCAATTGGTCCTGGTCAGAGTTCCTGATCGGACCAAAAGAATCTGCACGAATACTTGTTGACAGGATGTTCATCAAAAGCAAAATGTCACCCAGTGGATGTGACGGGTGCAGCATCACGAGAATGAACGAGATCCGGATATTTTGCCAAAATAGCTCCATTGCACTTTTGATGTGCAGTACTCCACACGCGATTTGGTAAAGTAGACGCATGGCCCCAGTCGAGTCGACTAGGGGCTGCAGATCTGATTGTGGTGTCTGTCGAGCAATTCGTTTATCTCGTGATGCCGGGGCGTACTTGAAGCGAGGAACTGCATTGACTTCCACGGTGTCCTGCAAGACTCCAACTAAAGGTGTAATCAGTTCGGAGAGTGGCACGTCATCCGACATCAGACTATATTTTATGATAGCTTCGAAACGGGGAATCGGCTCGTAGAACTTCTCGTTGATGGCGCGCTGCCACAGTGAGGCGATCGCTTGCGTATATTCTAATACGTAACTGCTCGGGTCAGCATGGCCCATGATCTCCATAATGAAGCTGGACATGGGTTGATCCGGTTCCGAGGGAAACGCAAGCTTTGACATGGCTTCGAGATCCGTTTCTTGGTTAGGATGCATACGGTGACTCAAAAGTCGCATCATAAATCGCTGATTGCGACCTGCCTCTGCAGACTTGCGCTTCACTTCATCGACATCGGCCGAAATATCAGTCGCATCAGTCATGACAAGCTCCCCACCAGCAGTATTCAGCTGTAGTGGCACAGGGCTATCCTGGCTTGATTGCCGTTTACGTTTTCCTGGAACTGTCGGCGTGGCTCGCTTGGAACGTGCTGCTGACTTGCTGGGCGATACCACGGCGATTTCATCATCGTCAAATCCATCGCGGAGAGGAAGCACCCGGGACTTTCGAGGAGTCACTGGGGCTTCCATCTCGCGATGCTTGGATTTGTAGTTCCGAAGCTGGTAGGCTTCATCCACAAGGTCTTGCTGAAGAAATACATTCTCTGTCGCCAATACCTTGCCTTCGGACATGGCTGCCTCAACCTCTTGCTTGTGTTTCGCCATTTCGTCGGCCATGGATTTCCGTAGAGCCGCTATTTGCCGGTCGTAGTCTTGTGTCATCGCTGCCTGCTTCCTTCGAATGATCGAGATTTCACCGGATTTCGTTTCCACTTGCATCCTCGCATCGGCTAGCTCCTGTAACATTTGTTCTCTTTCTTGCTCCATCTACAAGGATTGTTAGAGTTTATACAAAGAATCTTTCATCTAACCCACCTGCGCCAGGCGTGCATTGATCTCCGCGGGGGCGTTCCCTTGCGCATAGTACTCGTCCACATCCATGGCATCGCCCAGCTGCTCGTTGACCGCAAATCCAGGATCTGTAGCGAGTACATGTTGAGCATGCGGAATGACATGCGAATTATTGACATTATCGTACACCTCGGCCTCCAATTCCCCCATCTCCAGTGTATTGTAGTCGTTTGTTAACCCGGTGTGGAGGCGAGGCGGCGGTCTAAACGGTCCAGCATTGTTGTTTAATGGTACTGCTTGAGTGCGTAGCACGGGGTTGTTGTTTATGGGGTTTGGGCGGTACTGTGAGGCTGACGCCTGCGTTGCTTTAAACGCATTCTGTTCCAGTTCATACAACTTCCCCGGTGGCAGGGAGTCGAACTCGTCGGAGCCGTAGTCGTCGTCGTCGTCTTCCATGCCCCCGCCATGAATGGACTACCAGAGGGAGTTGACAGGTTCCAACTTCACGGAAGGCTTTTGATCATTCTCGAGTTCGAGCGGTTCCGAGTGTGGAAGAGGAGAGAGCACGGCAGTTCAAGGCACCTGGACAACAACCCTGCACATCCAATTTCAATTTCTAGTCACGAACGTAATATCTGAAGGTCAAATGATGATTGATTCATTAATAAACCCGAATAGTACACCAGATAGAAAAGATATAAAAGATATAAGCAAAAAAAAAAAAAAAAAAAAATTTAAACACGGGCCTGGGGCTGAAGCGACCCGCACGCGGCCCTTAACATGGGCAAAACACGTTAAAATCCGATATGCCAAGCAGGGAGGGGGCACACGCCAATTGCACCGCCAACTACAAAGGCAACCATCCCGCTTTCGGCGGGGTAGTCGGTGACATCAATATCAAAGTGGTATGTACGTTTCTCGGCACCAGGCCCTGTCAGCTCACGGGTGTGGAATAGAGGCGCACGGTAGACCTGGTAAGGTG